ATGTGACCAGATGACAAATTTCTAAAATTGTGGCTTATTTTTGATGCATGGCATTTTTTTCTAAGCATTGGAGTTTATATTGATATAATAATAATAGCTTGAATTAATTATAATGCCTCATATACCTCAATAACTTCAGGGAGAGATTCTTCTGCTGTAAATCTTGTGAAATCTTTCAATTGTTTGAAAGTATGGGCTGGAAGTCTCTCTCTCTAAATTACAAAACATGGTCACAAAGGCTCATATTTGTGAGAAATGCAAAACGACATAAGTATGCGTGAAGTTTAAGTACGAAACTCTATGTTTTTTTTTAATATAAACCAGATACAATTTATCCTAATATTTTATCAAAATGTTAGCTTTGCATGTAATCTTATTTTAGAAACTGAAGCAACAAATAACTTGGCTTCAGACAAAAATACAAGACTTTAGAAGAATAAATTATTTTTTAAAAGAAAAGTGTCAATGCTTGGTGACACATGACTTGATCACATGACTAGGAACCCTGTATGAAAAGCCGAGCTGTAGATGTTTCAAGTTAAAAGAGATAATTGAGAACCTTGGTGTAATATAAATATAACTGCTTATATTGGCGCTCTACCAAAGCTAATAAGTATGTGTTAAGTGTGTAAAGTAAATCAGCAGTGATGTGGCCCGTTTAAATGCATATGTAACGCTAGGAGGTTTAATCCACGATGAGGCACACATATCTTTATTTAAAGTATATGGAAAAGGCGACTTACTGATCGTTTCATCTTCACTGCCTCTAGCAGTTTCTGTACTTGCTCCTGGGCGATTTTATCACAATCGACTTTTATATCCTGAAAAGAAAAAAAAATCATATTTTTGAGATATTGCCCTTTGTTTTTTTGTCATGCTTTATATATACATGTATATTTTTCATATAGGGTATAACTCAAGAAGTATATAATATAAGTAAATAATGTAAGTGAATTGAACTCATTGCGGAGGATAGCAATGCACGAAATGATAACTACCCTTCATATTGTTTTAATAATTGCCCTCTTTTACTTTTCATACTAAATTATTGTTCGCAGCATAACTCGAAAAAATATGTTAGATATCAACTTCAAATTTAATAGGTGGATATTTCGTATTGTGTAAGAGTGAATTGCACATGAATGATCACTCTGCCCTTTCTGAGTTTTAGTAACTGTTATTGCTTAAATTTTGGTCACATAATAAAATGTATTTGATAAATCAACTTGAAATTTCTAAGGCTGACAGATCTTATTTAACAAAGTAATTAATAATTATTTTTGTGTTATTGTTTTTTTTCATGCTCTATTTTTGAATGGACAAAAATAACTCATAAATCATTTGAGATGCTAGCTTGCAATGTCAGCATACAGGTGCTCCACTTTTTTTAGTCTTTTATCGTTGAAAACAGACAGCACAGAAAAGGGACATAATTCGGCAAATATGCTTAGCAGACATACCTGCTCTGTATAGTCGACACACATTTGAAGCTGGGATTGAAAATCTTCAACTGGTTTTGAGAAAGAGGAATAAATTCCAAATCAAAACAGGGAATAATTAAGAAAAATGGCTTTCAGGATTATCTGCCTCTAAGAAATGCATTTCAAATTTGGTATTAAACAAGAATTCCGAGTTTATAAGTGAATATCTTATCTTTTTGAGAAATGCACTTTAACAGACAAATAAACGATGACATTCAAAATAAAATAAAAGAGAGGCATAACTTTGAAGAAAAATGATAATGTTACCTATTCTTTTGAAATGCATTTAATTTAAAAAATGATTAAGTTTTCCAAGTATAAAGTGATTAACTTTGACAGTTTTTGAGAAAATTACAAAAAGTAAAGTAAAAAGGGGAATAACTTTGCAAAAATGAATTTTAGTATTATCTGCCCTTCTGAAATATTGTAGATTTAAGTGAATAACTTTGATAGTTTCTGAGAAAACGGATCTTAACAAAAAGGTAAACCAGGGCTAAAACTCCATGTTGAAAAAATAGGCATAACTTTGCAATAAATCATTAGGGTAACCTGTCCTTTTGAAATGACGTCCTTTTATGACAATGGACATTTACGCAAAGTTTGAAGTGGATAGTTTTAGATTTTACTTTCTAAGAAAATGGACTTAAATCAAAAGGTAAAACCTATGCATGCGCCAACGAGAATGTCATATCGATAGTCATAAAACTGGAGCTAAAATGTTTACAATACACTTGATTGTTTAGAGTAATTACCGGTTGTTTATCCTTTTTTATATTATTGTCACGATCATTACCTTATTTAAAATATAAACTTGAGCCTTCATAGATCATAATGACGAATAGTGCATTGTGCCATTAATTTTGATGTTATTGTCCCAATAACATAGTCAATAGTTCATACTTTTATCAATTTATAATACATTCATGACTATCATCGAAGCTTTTGTACATGTATTTTAGTAATTATGTGATAAACCTTTAATGATGACTTCTTGGGTATTAATTATATGCCCGAAAGAATTTGGGGCATATTATGTTAAACCCCCTGGCGTCCGTTGGTCTGTCTGACCGTTAGCAATTTGGTTTCCAGAGCATAACTTAAGTTCCATTCGGCCCACAATATATAAACTTCATAGGATGATTCTCCATATTAGGTCGAAGACCCTTACTGATTTTGGGGTCACAAGGTCAAAGGTCAAGTTCACTATTACCTTCAAACTGAAAACAGTTTCCGGAGCATAACTTAAGTTATATTTGGACCACAGTATTCAAACTTAATAGGATAATTGTGCATATTGGGTAGAAGACCCCTATTGATTTTGGGGTCAAAGGTCGAAGTCACTATTTCCATAAAACTGAAAACAGTTTCCGGAGCATATCTTAAGTCCCATTTGGTCCACAATCATCAAACTTCATAGGGTGATTTTCCATATTAGGTAGAAGATCACTATTGATTTTGGGGTCACAAGGTAAAAGCTCAAGGTCACTATTACCTTAATACTGACAACAGTTTCTGGAGCATAACTTACTTCCATTTGGCCCACGATATTCAAACTTCATAGGATGATTGTTCATATTGGGTAGAATATCCCTCTTGATTTTGGGGTTAAAGGTCACTATTACCTTAAAACTGAAAACAATTTCCGGAGCATAATTTAAGTTCCATTCGGCCCACAATATTCAAACTTCATAGGATGATTGTCCATATTGGGTAGAAGACCCCTATATATTTTGGGGTTACCAGGTCAAAGGTCAATGTCACTATTATCTTAAAACTGAAAACGGTTTTTGCTCAATTACTTAAGTATTAATCAACCTACAACTGTAATATTTTATAGGATGAACAGCCATGTCCAATACATGACCCCTATTGATTTTAGGCTCATAAGATAAAGGTCAGGGTCACAATGACCTTTACAGTGAAAATTGTGCTTTCCGGAGCATAACACAAGTTCCATTTGGCTTACGGTGTTCAAACGTCATAGGATGATTGCCTATATTGAATAAAAGATCCATATCTATATTGGGGTCACAAGGTCAAATGTCAAATGACCGTAATATTGTTAAAAGTTTTACAACTGTCAAACTTCATAGGATGATCACATATATTGAGTACATTAATTATATGCCCTAAAAATTTGCTTATATTATGTTATATCCCTGGCATCATTCTGTCCATCTGTTGTAGTAAAATAATTTAATTCCCATGTCTTACAAATGCTTCATCCTTCTAAAAAAAAATCACTTTCGGGCATATAATGCTCCGCCTAGCGGTGCTCTTGTTTTTTATTGTTAAACATCGTTATCTATTTCTAGTATATATCTATCTATGTCACACAACGCTATAATTTAAGGATTAAAATAGAAATAAGAGTTCACCTAATCCTTTTTTGTGTTATCCTTAACATATAATACTGACTGACATTTTTTTCAAACCATACATACGAATTTGTTAACTGTTTTGTGTATGCCTTAAAATGTTATCTGTATGCTAATGCACATTTTATGTTGAACTATATCTTTGTTTTTAAAATCTTATTTCTCGCTCCATGATTCAACCCTTCTTATATTCAACAAAAGTCGCAACATGTACTAAATCACTGTTCAGTTTTTTTGTAATAGACATGTAAATGCAAAATTGATGAACATGTACCTGTAGGATTTGAAGAAGTTTTTCAATGGTTTCTTTTTCCGTCGAATACTTTGTTTGGAATACTTCAAAAGCATATGTCCACTCATTGTCATATAGTTCTGTGTTTTTCTCGGCAATCTTCGTTGGCCTATTTTTATCGCTAAGATCTGCTATATCAGGGTTGTTATCTCCGAGCTTATTTCCCATCATCCGACTTAGTCTACAATTAAGACGAACTTCATTTACTAGTGTCTTTTGACTAAGATGTTGATACGTTTAAATGAAATTACATGTATTTAGTTAAGTAACAATGTCAGAAAATGTGGAAATGTCGCGTGTTTGTGTTTCACCTCAGTCTGTAAAAATAATATTTTTACGACATCAACGTTAAAGGATATTTTGCAAGTCTAAAGTCAATTATTTTTTATGATTTATTGTTACTTTATCAGCTCAATTGAACATCAAATTATAAATTATTATTATACGAACATTTCATTCATCATGTAATAAGAAAGGTTAGACTTCATGAATCTGTGCCAAGATTTTAATAAGGTTTTTATTTGAAATGTTACCAACTTAATGGTATAAAACGTTCGCAGCCAACACTAAATATTTAGGAGGAGATTCCTTCCTGTATCTGATACGTTAAAGAGGTCGTGAGTCAGGTTGTGCAAAAAATTAAATGATATCACAGTATTTAAGTGAGTGACAATTTTTACCCTTTTCAAGTTTATTGTGTTTTTGATCAGTCGGTAAGAATGTTAAATTGAATGATCTATACATATATGGAATTCGACTCAGAAACCAAAATCTTTAAACCAAATCTACTATTATCTATATATTACTAACATATGAGCGCAGTAAATGATATAAATTAGTACTTCTTACCGCGATTTTGATTCAGACAATTCTTTTTCAATCTTAACCATCTCGTCATTTGCCGCTTTGTATCGATTTTGTAATGCAGACAATGGCTCCTTTACAGACGTATATTCTCTTGTAATTTTGTCTCGGTAAAGCTGATCTTCAGCCACTGTTTGCTCAAGATTTTCTATTTTTGCAACCGCCTTTTCATATTCTCGGACGACTTCAGTGTAAGCTTTTTTGTATTTATCGTTTATTTGTTTTGCCTTCTGTAGTTCTTGTTCTGGATCCTTAATTTTCTCATCACTTCTGTTACTTGAGATTCGGTCGTGATGACGGGTCTTAAGGGTCTGATTTTCCATTTTCACCTTTTCAATCTCTTCTTTCAGTTTCAGAGTTTCGCCAGAAAAATAAAATGATATAACTATAAAAACTTTTAACTCCCGCATCGATATAATATACACAAATTATTTCGCCGGGACGGCGAGTGAAAATATGTGGCATTTTATCATGTTGAGTGAAAATATATACCATATTTCATTATCAAAGAAAAATGTTACGAACCCCAATGCTTGCTAGCAACTGCAATTGTACAGCGCGCAGTAATATTGTTTTGCACGCGATATTTAGCGATACATTGTGACGTCACGTTAACAACTCTTTAAACGTCTGTACAGCGTTAATTACTGAATTAAAGATATTGGTGTTCGGAATTATTTTCTTAGTTAGACCATTTTCTATCATTCTAGATAGTTTTCAAAACAAAATTCAACAAAAAGCTGTTTTGTATTTATCAGATTTTTCAAACAAAATGGCGAAAGAAGTCCCTTAAGATAAATATAAGTTTTGACTCCGCCCACTTTCATATTTATATTTCATATTTATTTTTAAAAAAATATGAAATATATTTGACTGATATAGCACCATATTTCATGAGTAAAATTAAATAATAGCGTTATACTATAGGCGCGTCAATGAAAAATGACTCTAATTTCACTTTAAACGGTCTATATTTTGGATATGTGATAAAAAGAATATTAAATTCGTGTAAGTTCATTTCTGAATTTATTGCACTCGTTGAATGAAAAAATATTTTGCTCGCCAGAGGCTCGCATAATATAATTTTATTCAATTCGTATAATTTTATTCAACTCGTGCAATAAATTCAGTATTGAACTTACGCTCATTCAATATCCTCTATATATTAACACAGTTTGACCTTACAAAATGCAAATCTTTTGTAAAAATGCAATTTTGTCTTACCCTTGTTGACAATAACTGCTTCCATTCCCTCATTTCCTGTTTGAGTTCTGGATAAGAATCGGGAGACCTTCGAGTTCTAAGAATAGTTCCTCAATTTTTTGTTTGGGCATTTTCTCCCGTCTAGTATCACCAGAAGAATCAACGTCCATATGCATCTCCTGCTCAGTTGTTTGCGACTGTCTATTGGTTCCTCTCCCATGACGTGCATTTGTGTTCTCGGTGTAAGGTTGTCGTGAAGTAGGACTTTACTAGTCGTCTGTATTACCCCACGGATGTAATATAAATCCGTGATTACCCCAAGTTTGCCTTTTGTTACTTGACGGTATATGCCGTATATACCTGTATCTATAAGAAATAAATATATCGACAGAGTTTTCTATGAAAAAATGAAACATGGTGAGTAATAAAAGCATGACTAGTATGAATTATGAACGGCAAGAATTTAAAGTTCACATATTTTATATAAATTTCGAATAAATGGCATGAATAGTCTTATAATTGCATATTTCGTAATTTGATACATTTTGATGAACGAGGAAATAAAGTAAACGTATTAATGAAAATCACCATATTTTTGTGACGATGGAGAGCTGATTTTTTTAGAGAAAATACGAAGTAGATATCATTCTTAAGACTTGCTGTCAATTTGACTTACTGGAACAATGAATACTATTACTATCATTATGATGACAAGAAATCATCTCAAGGGGCAAAACACTTTGACACAAATGTTTCATTTCCTTAGAATAAGGAAACAAGCTTAGTTTCTTCTCCATCGGTATACAGAAAAATAAGAGTTCAAGTTATCGCAAGAGTTATTATGTTGTACTTCATGTATAAGGTTATACAGACACCACGTACGAGGGGCGTTCAATATATTCTAGACTGTGCTTATAACATATTTGTTAGGCAAACATAATACATAAAAATTACTTGACCGGAAACGGCAGTTTAATATACACTTGTACATGAAATTTCAACAGCGTAAGACAAACTGCGCATAAGGTAATATTACCCGACTTCCAGCGCCCCTGCAGGTCACGATGGTGTTTCCCGACGTCAGCGACGTCACTGGACGTTAGTTTGATTTCTGACGTGTCGTGCATCGCTCATAACTTCTCAATGTAGCGTCCGTTACATTTAATGCATCTCTGACGTCGGTAAATTCACTGATTTAATATGTTTTCATACCTCTTTTGAGGATACATTTTGATAATTTATTTATTTTAGTGGAAAGAAGATATTAAAAATATAATAAAATACCACTGAAAAATGAAAATATGACAATTTATAATTCGGGAGTTTAAAACAACATAATTTGATTAGTGTAACTAAAAATGCAATAAAATAAAATAATCGTATTAAAATAAAACAATAGAGAAATTAAAAAAGAATATAAAAGATCTAAAATTAGCAAACTCGTATTTGTTATTTTTTTTACCAATCTAAAAAGTCCTCTTCTGCTTGATGTGTAAATACAACAACTAACAAGTTGACAGACCGTTTCAATTTATCTCAAACATTCGGTCTTCAAATTTCATAAACAATTTGGTCAAAAAATTCGACTATGAAATTGACATTCTGAGTAACTTTACCGCCTTTTCTTTGACAATACCTAGAACTTGAGAACTTGAGGAAATACGGCGAAATTTAATACATATTATTTTTACTACGTTTACACCTATTCCGTCCCATATATAAAGTGTACACTTACACAGTAGTTAGATTTGTGCTGTTGGGCACGTATTCAATAAAATTAATTTCAGCCGAGGTGATACTTTCTTCCATGAGTCTTTTTCTTATTATTGTACATATTGTATTTATATATAAATGTTTCATTCTAACATTAATCGTCCCTCTGATTTGAAACAAACATTCCTGTGTTATATCTGATCAATGGAATTCTATACCTCACATAGTAAAAAACCATACCTTAACCTACCTTACTGCATAGATCACGGCGTTAATAGGTGTATAGTAATATTTGTCTCATTCACAAATATTAGACTGCACTTAAAAAAAGGGGGGGGGAATTATTTGCATTCCGTCATTAACTATTTTAATCTAAACTATATAACAATTTAATATCTCATTAAATTAAATATTATTGGAGTTGAAGCAAACGTTTTATATCTTACTTGATCATTGCACATCAGGTGTATCCCATGTTTTAGCTAATACAAAAAATATTTTTGGCGGCTAGAGACAAAGGGGTCATACCATGCGCGCGCATCCTCAACTTTCTGTTTTCAACCGGTATTTTGAACAAAGACAAGTCATGTAAAGCAAGCAGAATAGATTTTAATTTAATGTCTTTTGCAAAGAAGATGTTTACTTCTAGTTTTAATATTCCAAATGTAATGACACCAGTCTTCCATTTCTTGTCAGTATTTCGCGTTGAATGCGATTTTGTTTCTGGATAGTGGGTACACCCGGCGTTGAAATGTTACAGATATTGAGAAATTGTCGATTAAACTGAAAGTTTTACACAAATGGAAGTTAATTCGTTATAGAATCTATTTCACAAATATGTTTTCAATCTTTGTTATTTTTCCTTTGTACGAAAAATATCTTAAAACAAACTTTTTGCAGGAAATAGATAGTATGATACTGCGTACACTATCAAAATAATCAAGATACTGCGTACACATATATATGTTATTGATTCTGCCTGCATTTTCTTCGAAGCAGTTTAAGTTCGTAATGGGATCAATTGGATAACACTGTCAACCAATAAATAAAAAAAAAATAAAACATAAAAAAAGTGAAATTAAAGATAATTAAAATAAAAAAATAAGATTCAAATCTTGTGATTAAGTATGCTCCCTTAATATGTACATCCTAAAAAAGGTTTAAGTTGAATATTTTTCATTAAATTTGTTTACAAATTTATGTAACAATCTTAACTTATAAAAAAGTTCATACACTGCATTTTAAATTAACTTTTTACAGACAAAATTATAGATACAATCATGTAAAGAAATAAATGTATGCCTATTTTTTCGTGAATTCTTCTCCAGACAACATGAAGGACGATCGACAACGTCTAGATGATCTTTACAGATGTGACCTTTAAATAGGCATCTGGGGCGTACCTTGGCTTATTTTGAGTATACGCCGAGTTCAGGTCTTTGGTCGAGACTTATATCAAAGATAGCTCTGTGCTATTACCAGGGATTGTACTACTTAAAAATTGTCTTTAACTATAGTTATGAATGTAACATTAAGTACATGTATTGAATGAAAGAGAAATTACACAGTCTAGCTTGTACACTGGCTAGATGATTCAGAAGTTATTTACTACCGTGTATCAGAAAAACTAACCATAGCCAGGTGTCTCTATTGTTATGAAGATGGGTCTAAGAAGTCTTTATCCTTGTTATTTTTCTTTTTTTCACCATACCCTAACAAAAGATATAATCAAGGAAGACATTATTTAAAAATGATCTGTATGAGGATAATACAAACACAATAGCTTAAATGTTATAGTGTAACAATAAGTTATCGTGTTTAACGCTAAATTGTAGTATCGCGTGGTCATTTAAGTCCATTAAGAATATATATTCTACAGATCATTTTAAATAATATTTTCCTTGATTATATGTCATGTTAGGGTATGGTGAAACAGAAGAAAAATAACAAGGAAAAAGACTTCTTAGACCCATCTTCATAACAATAGAGACACCTGGCTATGTTTGTTTTTCTGATACACAGTGGTAAATAATTTCTAAATCATTTACGCCAATGTACAAGCTAGAATGTTTAATTTCTCTTACATTCAATACATGTACTTTATGTTAATTTTTAAACTATAGATAAAGACAATTATTTAAGTAGTACAATCCCTGGTAATAGCACAGAGCTATCTTTATCTTATAAGTCTCGACCAAAGACCTGAACTTGGCGTATACTCAAAATAATCCAAAGTACGTCCCAGATGCCTTTTCAAATGTCACATCTGTAACGACCATCTAAACGATGTCGATCGTCCTTCATGTTGTTTGGAGAAGAATTCGCGACAAAATAGGCATGCATTTATTTCTATACATGATTGCATCTATAAATTTGACTGTAAAAAGTTAGTTGTTTTAAAATGCAGTGTATGAATTTTTTTTATCAGAGTGTTACATAAAT